TCTGTTTGTTACTTACAAAACCACTACCAAGTTGCCAGTGACGGAACTAATTTATATATATTATATATATATATATATATATATATATATATATATATATATATATATATATATATATATATATATATATATATATATATATATATATATATATATATATATATATAACACGCTATCATTCGTGTATTCATTTGAGACGTCTGCCTTGTTCTCTAGAACAGTGGTTATTAAACGTAAACAATGTAGGCATTTATTTCTTGGATATTAGTTGTTGGAGCGCTAGTTTATCAAAACTACCACCGATTCGAGCCAGCGTTGTTGTTGGAGCGCTAGTTTGTCTACACTACCACCGATATGAGCCAGCTTAGTTGTTGAGGCGCTATCTATTCGCTTCTTGTAAGGCTAAGAGCGAGAGGGGAGGTCTGAGAAAGGAACTTAAAAGGGACAACAAAGCACCAATGTGATTTTATCCATCAGTACCAAATTTGGGATGGTCTCAAAATGCCGTCTTAATATCTAGCGGTCTCTCGCGCAATAGATGTTTTTTCAAAAGAATTTTGCCGACAACAGCGTGTGTTTGTAGGAAAAAGAATATACAAGTGCGTGGGATGGTGTCTATAGAATAAAGATACTCCAACCACAGCTACGGTATTCTTTTTCAAAACAACCATCAGGTCAAAAATGCAAGAAAAATAATTTTAACTATAAAAATTTTTTTATGGGCGGCTGTGGGCCCCCTAAACGGCTTGTTCCCCCCCCCCCCCCAGGCATTGCGGGGTCTGGCGGCACTGTAGTTCCTCTCCTGGGCTGTCCTCAACAGCTTTCAAAGTTTTCATGGCGATTGGGTAAATATGCAGTAATGCAAAATAGACAGAAAAATGTTTTTCACATGCACAACTGTATGTGGCCAGCTCACGCGTCGGATAACCTTCTGAATTAAGGGGGGGGGGGGGGGGGGGAATCCACAAATGACGTCACATTTTTTAACGACTAACAAAAAGCCAGACCCTCACACACCCCCACCTCAATAACATCATTTATAAATAGTAATTGACTATTAATTATATAATAATGTTCAATTAATTTTAAACGTTCTAATTAATTTCTAAATAATTATATAAAAAAATAATCTTACCTTCCTTGTTTTGTGAATTAGATGTGCCTAATACTAATACTATGCAAATAAATCAATATATGTTGACTAGTGCTGTCTAATGTCAGACAAAATGTGCTAAAGTGGTGAATCGTACGGTTAGGAAGTAGTTCATAAACGATACATTGGTCTACTCGATACTCGATAAAAAAGAGGGATGGGATGGGGGTCGGCTCGGGAAAAATTTTTGAAAGAGACAACAAAGCGTCTATGTACCACCGCCCATTAAAAAACTTACTCAGGGGAGATAATTCCAAGTAAAGGCCTTAAAAGTTTACTATGATATTTCTTGTAAAAGTAAAAAACAAGTAAACGTATATAAAAACGAAGTTTCTAGTATTATATTCTTTTTTATTATTTGTAGGATTCAAGATAGTACAGAATACAAATTCAACCACTATCACAAACACATGTACAATGGATTTCGGCGGGTCCCTAATTTATGCCGCAAAGTAGAACCGCGCATCATGAAAGCCACTTCATATGTAGCGGCTTCTCGTGCTATGGTCTTTGTTGTTTTTTTAAAAAGAATTTTGCCGGCGACAGCGTGTGTTTGATTGTGGGGAAATAGAACTCGGCCTTGACGGCCTTAAAAAATACAACTATAAATAAAAAGAAATTTGATCCCCATCCCCTGCCCCATCCGCCACAGTACACTTTGGAGGATCGGTCAAACAGTTACGTGTCCTCTATTTAGCTATCAAAGGGGGGCAACGAGTCAAATGTGTCATTCAAATTTGAAGCGTTGCCTATATTTTACACTGTATTTTGTGTAAAATCGATTTTTTTTTTTTTTGCTGAAGAGCGTGGTATAGTGACTGTAAAATAAAGATAATCGTACCGCAGCTACAGTGTTTTTCTTTTACAAACTAAATATCAAGGCAAAAATGCACGAAAATTAAATTCAAAATTAAAAAAAAATACTAATTATGGTAAGCAGTGGGCCCCTAAACGGCCTGCCCCCCCCCCACCAGCCCCCCTCCCCCCCCCCCCCCCCCCCCCGCATTGCGAGGTCTGGCGGCACTGTAGTTCCGCCCCTGTATAGATCTTTTGGTTATTTTTAGGCTTAAAAGCTAGATCATTGTATCCTAAAAAATTTTAACTATAATGTATTTAGTGAGTGTTAATAACTAATGTTCCATTAATATGTGTACTAATTATAAAACGATTAATAATATAAAGACGAGTCTTACCTTCCTTGTTGTGTGAATTAGATTCGTCAACGAAATACTTCATAAGGTAAATGAACAACTACCGACTAGTGTCTTTAACAAAATGTGCAGAAGTGGTCAGTTTACAGTTCAGTAGTTCATAAACGGTTCGTTAATCTATGCATTACATCTTATTGTAAGAGTAAGGGTGTGGTGAGGGGTAGATGTTAGGGGGATGGGGGGGGGGGAGGGTAGAGAGTTGGGGAGGTTCAAGGGAAGGGGACAAGAAAGCGCCGATGAACATCTACATCAATAGCGCCGACTTTTTCCGGTCGTCTAGAAGACCAGGATAGTCGCCGCAACATTTCCCCAGCTCGATTTTCAAAGCTTTTTTGTTCTCCTAATCGACGCCACTAAAAAAGAACGGTAGGTTGCGTCTTTGAAGTTGTCTATATGTCTGGCGGTCTCTCGAGCTATAGTCTGTGCATTTTTCTCAAAGACGTTTGCCGACTTTCGTGTTTGTTTGTAACTGTAGAAGAAAGATAACTCGACATCCACCTAATTTTTGTATTTAAATTTTTAAAAAAATGTATAATTTAGCCAGGATTTTTGGGCCCCCAATCCGCCTGGGCCCCCCGCATTGCGGGGTCTGGCGGCACTGTAGTTCCGCCCCTGAGGCTTATTCAAGTTAACGTTTATAGTTTACGAGCCGGCCCGCGGCATAACATACGCCGCTATTTAGTTGTTTTTTCTACTTTTCAGTAATTCATAATTTGTGAATTCGACAGTACCAACGCTGACACTGAAAATATTTATTTAAAACACTATCAGTAGCTCGTTAAGGACCATAAACCCCCCCCCCCCCTTTTCCTTCTCCCCCCCCCCCCCCCCCCCCCAACATTTTAAATCGTTTCAAATTAATTTATCTGCCACTAATAGCCGTCACTAAACCCGACTCCACGGAGGTAAACGTAGCGTGAACCACAGCTAACTAAGACCATGTAGGGGTGGGGATAGTAGGAAGCGCGTTTACAGCTTGTTTTCTAGCGTCTCCCAGAAGAGAATTATATATATAGATAGTATTGCTACCTAACCCTGACCCTTATTTATACCCTAACTATGACCCAAATATGATCATATCTTGACCCTAACCTTGACATCGATACTGCTTAGAACCCTAACATACGACTGAAAAATATTGATACTGATTAGAACCCTAACATACGACTGATAAATATTGAAGTACATTAAAGCAACGCTACTAACAAAGAAAAAAGACGATTCGATATGTGCTAACAATAGTGTGATTGCTGGCCTTCGTGTAATTTTAATTGTGTTTTCCTGCCTGCAGAATATAAAGCATAAACACAGCATGTTTGTAAATAAACTCAAGTCCTTACATACGTTTGTGATGTTACTCTTTACCACAGCTCTTGTTTTCCTTTCTCGGCGGTAAGTAAAAGGTGATTTAAGATGTTCCGCTATAAATAGATCACGCTAATCCTATATGGTGTTTTTAAATATATTTTTTATCGCAGATAAATCATGGTGGTATTCATGATTATACTTGAGGTGGTCAGTTGGTGTAGCTATGTTATTTGTATTTTTCATGCAAAATTGAGGTAGACGTAGGGGTAGTTGTAGATGTGTCGTAGACAGGGACTTGGACGTAGGCGTTGACATGAGCGAAAGTGTATAGGCGTAGGCGTAGGCGTAGGCGTAGGCGTGGGCGTAGGCGTGGGCGTAGGCGTGTGCGTGGGCATAGGCATAGGCATAGGCATAGGCACAGGCACAGGCACAGGCATAGGCATAGGCATAGGCATAGGCATAGGCATAGGCATAGGCATAGGCATAGGCATAGGCATAGGCATAGGCATAGGCATAGGCATAGGCATAGGCATAGGCATAGGCATAGGCATAGGCATAGGCATAGGCATAGGCATAGGCATAGGCATAGGCATAGGCATAGGCATAGGCATAGGCATAGGCATAGGCATAGGCATAGGCATAGGCATAGGCATAGGCATAGGCATAGGCATAGGCATAGGCATAGGCATAGGCATAGGCATAGGCATAGGCATAGGCATAGGCATAGGCATAGGCATAGGCATAGGCATAGGCATAGGCATAGGCATAGGCATAGGCATAGGCATAGGCATAGGCATAGGCATAGGCATAGGCATAGGCATAGGCATAGGCATAGGCATAGGCATAGGCATAGGCATAGGCATAGGCATAGGCATAGGCATAGGCATAGGCATAGGCATAGGCATAGGCATAGGCATAGGCATAGGCATAGGCATAGGCATAGGCATAGGCATAGGCATAGGCATAGGCATAGGCATAGGCATAGGCATAGGCATAGGCATAGGCATAGGCATAGGCATAGGCATAGGCATAGGCATAGGCATAGGCATAGGCATAGGCATAGGCATAGGCGTATGTTTCTTTACCTCAGCATATAGAGGGTATAATTTTCTCAGCCCAGTCGCCTTTATTCCCCCTTACGTTCCCCATTGGACTCGAAACTTCTAGGTTAAGAATCTTGCGCTATACCTCTAGGCAACGTCATCCCATATATAGGACCACATTAAACATCTTTAAAACCTCCTTTCAACCTCCAAACCAACTTAATAATGACACTCACTAAAACATCCGTGTTTACTTCTCTCTGTGTATTTTATAGGTCCCAACCCATGGGGACTAGTGTACAATACAATTCTGGCCCAGAGCCAAAGCTGGAGCCACTGCTTCAACACGGCTTATACGACGTCCACTTCTCCCAAGCGACGGATAAAGAATTCTGGGACGATGGTCCGATAGATATCTATGAAGCTTTTGCTCAACATTCCTACAAGACTTTAGAGACGTGTAACAATTCGTGTGACTTTAAAGACGATCTATGTGAAGCCAGGACAATGGAACAATTTGATTTAATTATTTCAAGAAATTTAATACAGAAGCAGAAACCGTTTCTTGCAAGAGGGCAGTATGTTTTTGAATGGGAGAAAAAATATTTGAGTTATCCCCCTTTGAACGATACTAAAACGCTGCCAGATTTGAAGTTGTCTAAAGTGACAGTTGAAAACACAAGACAAGGTGTGGTCGGGTGTAAGATACTTGAAACTATACACGGTCGTCTGGATGTCGTGGATGGGTACGGGCGTCAGAGAACCAAGGGAGACGATGTGGTCAGGGTGTGGATGAAGGGAGGTAATAATTCGGATTACGCTGTTGTTGGTAACGTCACAGATTTACAAAATGGCAGCTATACCTTCTCTGTCAAATGTTTGTGGGCTGGTAGCTCTAAGGTAAGTTTAAACATTTTAATTACTTGATTTATTTTTATTTTAGTATTTACGATAAGCTTCATAAAGATCTTTTATTTGTTTTAAATATATCACATAGATGAATGATAAGTTGCTGATATTTTAACTATGATGGTAATGCACGTTTCTCTCATTTCAAAAATTGTAAAAGAATGTAGGAAGAATGTTATGAGTGATTAATTCATCCGAATCTAACCTTGGAGTTTTTTCAAGTTAAATATTTTTGCTGCTTTACCAAATATAGATCTGTGTTTATTATGTGAAATATGTTGATAGTTGTAAAGATTATAGTAGTTAACTTATGTTGGTGTTTTAAACATTCTTGTATTTTACCTTATATTGATTTTTTAACTTTATTGTATGTTGTGTTAAGGTTTTTAACATTATTTATGTTATATAAAGGTTTTTAACATTATTGTATATTGCATTATGTTAACGTTTTTTTTTTTTGCTTTATTGAATTTTACTTTATACTGATGTTTTTAACTTGTTACCTTATGTTAATTTTTATACCATTATTTTACATTACCTTTCTGCTAATATTTACCTACTGTAGCTTCACGTGGCCATCGCCTACCCTCGTGAGTTCATCAGGACGGTCATACATCAGGTACACACAGGTGTAGCCAGGTACATGGTGGCTACATTCGATCATGGGATGGCCCGAGAGGTAAAATAAAGGTTAAAGCTGTACTCACGTAGTTCACCAACCTATCCCCACCCCAAACACACACACAAATAATAGCCTGAAGTTGGCTATATGCAAACATCTATCTATATATATAATTCTCTTCTGGGAGCCATTTGAAAACAAGCTGCAAGCGCGCCTTACAGTTCCTTCTCTTCCTCTCTATCGCTACCACCCCCCACCCCCTCACATGGTCTGGTGAGCTGTGGTTCACGCTGTTTACATTTTACAATCATAGAGACGGGTTTGGTGACGGCTTTTAGGGGCAGATAATTTAGTTTGAAACGATTTTAAACTTAGAGGAGGTAATTAAGAGGAGGCTGCTTTCACGTGGGGGGAAGGGGGGTTTAGTGTTTCTAAGCAAATATTTTCAGTGGCAGCATTGGTAATGTCGAATTCACAAATTATAAATTACTGAAAAGTAGAAGAAAAAAAAACAACTAAATAGCGGCGTATGATACGCAGCGGGTCGGCTCGTACTAAATATAAACTGAATGTACATACTTTTATATAACCACTTTGACGAATGAGATCAGGGTTTTCTTCATACATTTACCTTAGGGATGGGGGGGGGGGGGAGACGCGTAAAATTGCAGGGATTGCGCTTTGTAAATAGAAAATCTGAAGTGATGTCCTACGTCCTAATTAATTTATATTCTATCTCAGGACACCATCTGTTTCCATACCCCAAACATACCAGGCTGGGAGTGTATCTGTAACTTCAGCAAGTTTGGTTATGAGAATTATTACTGTGGTAGACCGAGACATCCGAGGTAGGAAACTTCATTAACTACTGGGTATTGAGGCTCAGGTGGAGCAATATATTAGGGAGGTACTGAGAGCAACAAAACATGATTCCCACCCCCACCCCCTATCGTACTCTTGCCGTCTAAGTCTTTGCTGTAACGTTTTAACTGTAATAACAAATATATATAACATATATATATATATATATATATATATATATATATATATATATATATATATATATATATATATATATATATATATATGTAATAGATATATTTATATATCTTTTAAAAATTGTAAAGGTTAACGTGTAATAACTGGTACAGTAACAATGCTTTGACCATTTCACCTCCACATGACGTCACTGAGGCAGAACGAAATTTAATTAAGTCAATTTGCAGGTATAAAAGACTTTTAAATAGAAGAAACATTTGATATAATTTTAAAAATGTCTTTTTGAAATCATTTTACCCGAGCTAGCATCTTCAAAGACTGGCTTTCGTTTTGGAACAGGGGAATGTAATCTTTGATTAGAAAACACTTTCCGTTACTGACATGTAACACATATGGTTACCAGCCAAGTGGGATAAAAATATGAGGTTTTAATTCATTGAGTTGCGACCCCTGTGGGGCTGTGGCTCTGTGGACGTAGTTGTTTTTTTTTTTCATGCTTTTGTGAGCGATGTTACCTGTGTCCCATGTCATGTGACATGGGACTGTGGGTAGTTTCATGCCTAGCCGTGTCGCACACGCAAGCCTGCTGTCTGTGGACATGGTGACCAAGATGTAGACCTAATGAAGGTAGTTATATAAATTATGTTTGTTAAAATACTTATTTGTGTATTCCTGCTAGTGCTGCATGTGCACACTAGTTAGGGTGAGTATTAATATAAGTATTTATTTGTAGTACTACGTATTGGTACTTGTTGGCAGTACTGTGTACTGGCCAAAACATATTTTATTGTACCTGTGTATATTGTAGCCTATACGTGGTGTTGTCATGAATGTAACTTTTTATTTACATTTGTTTTAGGGCTACAGATTGGTTTTGGATTGGTTTTGGTTTTGGTTTTGGTTTGGTTTGGTTTTGGTTGTTCTTCTTGGCTAGTTTGTTTTGTACTACTGTGTTGCATCGCCGTCATGGCTCGATGCTGTAAATAAAGCGAGTACTTGACAACAACTGTCGGTGTCGGTGTGTACTTAATCTCAGGGTCAGCCCGTCTTAACCACAACACCTCAGTGGGTAAAAGCATCCCCACTGAGTGAGGGTTACAGACATATAGTATTTCTCTCAGACATTATTTTCCGGGGGGGGGCTCTTAAAACTTTAGTAGGGGCGGACAAAAATGTCCGTAGGGAGTGGTGTGGACAGTAATAAAAGTATATATTTTCAGTATAAACTATTTCTTTTGAAAGAGATGCCTAAAGAATCCCTGGTAACATGAACACATTATTGAACTTCACAATAAAATAAAGGCTGACTTTGTATTGGTTTACTGTTTTTCTTTTATACAGTCAAGCAGCAGAACGTCTTGTAGAAAACAATTATCTAATAACCACAGAAAATACAGGTGAATAATATTTTATCGAACTGATTTTTTTTTTTTACAAATTTGTTGTTTTCACCAGAAATAAAAAAAAAATTAAAATTCAGATTTAAGGATTTTTAAAAAAAAAATGTCTATATTCAATTTAATTTTTTTAATTTTTAGTGGAAGAAAATCTTCTGCATCTTCAATCGTGTCGAAAGTCCAACAAACGCGTCACGTGGACTCAAACGACCCCCAAAGGTTTCTGGTCCCCGGGTCAGGTCTGGTCCTCCCTCGTCTGTCAAGACCCTGGGGTCATCAACTCCAGCTGGACCCTGAACTGTCTCCGTGACAGCTCTGTGTGGATCTTCGGCGACTCCAACGCCCGAGAAACCTACAACTACCTTTTAAATCTAACCCAGTGTGAACACGTCCAGGGAGGGTACCAATACTGGGGACATTGTTTCCAGCCCATGTACAGTCTCAGCATAAATGTGAATTCTCACGAGGGTCCTAAGTACACACACGCATGGTCTTCTGACTATTTCACCGTCCCAAGTTTTATACAGAAACTACCAAAAAACCAGAAACATATTCTGATCATTCAGTATTACCTCCACTACACGGCTGCCCATTTCGCTGTGCTGTCGTTACGTATGAAATCTCTGAGAGCCGCCATAGAAAAACTGCTTGAAGAAAACCCCAACGTCTTGATTGGACTTAGAGCTCCTCATATCTCAACGTGGGAGTATAATGAAAACCATGCAACAGGGGGAGACGCTTTAGGGCCCCAGTACATGGAGATTATACGAGAACGGTTCAGAGGTTTAGAAGATAAAGTCGTGCTGTTGGATCTATGGGAGATGACGATTGGAATCGAGAACGCTGATTTTCACCCACCGGCGTTTGTTAACAGGGAGATGATTAAGTTTTTGTTGTCTTTTCAGTGTTTGTGATTTGCGGTTTCGCTGTAACTAGATGGGGTTGGTTGTAACTAAGGAGTGGGTTGTTACTTGGTGGTTGTAACTAACTTGGTGTAGCTGAGTAGCAGTAATTGAGTGGTTGTAATGGAGTGGTTGATACTGAGTGATTGTTATTGTATGGTTGTAACTGATTGATTATAACGAAGTATTTGGTTTTAACTGAATAGTTTTAACTGAATAGTTACATTTGAGTGGTTGTAACTAAATGGTTGTCTTACCAATACTCATGCGAGCTGTGTGATTCTGTGATGAATGATGAATGACTAGAACAAAAAATAAACTTAGGTTTTTGTTTTATGCTGTTTTTATAAAATAAAATGTGCTTCTGTTTTCTGAAGTGATACAAATCGTATATGCAGTAAAGCCATTTCAGGATGAATGGAAGTAAATATGATTTTTTTAAATATTGGCTTTAACAGTGGTTGCAACTGAGTGGTTGTAACCGAGTGGTTGTAACTGAGTGGTTGTAACTGAGTGGTTGTAACCGAGTGGTTGTCGAACCAACATCTACACGGCTCTGTGATTCATTGACGGCTGACTAGAACAAAAATAAATTCGGGTTATTGTTTTCTACTGTATCAATAAACGAAAAGGTGTTTTGGTTTCTCTAGTGATACGAGGTTCATTCGCATTTTCAGAACTCAAGGGAAGTAAATATGATTAAGTAAATTTTGGCTTTAACAGTGGTACATTTTTATGATTATCTACACTGTTTTAGCCGTGTCCCACGCTTACACTGGCCCACGCTTACACTGACCCACGCCTTACACTGACCCACGCGTTACACTGGCCCACGCCTTACACTGACCCACGCCTTACACTGGCCCACGCCTTACACTGACCCACGCCTTACACTGACCCATGCCTTATACTGACCCACGCCTTATACTGACCCACTGTAAGGCACTGACCCACGCCGAACACTGACCAACGCTCCACAAGAGATTGCCCTAGGGTTTCCTACAATCAAACTTTAAAACTTCAACATAAAAACTACACTAGAAAACGTTCATCCTTAATGTTTTCACCCAAGGACGTGTTGACAGCCTCACCTGCAGAGTATAACACTATATATCACAGCTTTAAACATGAACTGAACACGCCATACATCGTAACACATCGAGCAGTATAAATTATTTTCTTATTTCAAAATCATTTTTACAGTGTCAACATACATGTTCAACGGACCGACGCATGTTTTTAAATAGCGTATAATTTATACGGGGTGAAAGCTAAACAAAATTAAAAACTGAATTGTAGAAGGCGAATTGTCTTTAGTAATAAACCACTGCCGATATCCAGCTTTTAATTAATTGCTATGAGATTTAAACGTGTCTTTAAAATGGATTATTAATTACCATCTATTATAACTTGGTAAGTTTTGTTGAGTTTTAATGGTGGGTTACTAATCCTCTTCTCGACAATGCACTGGCGTCAGTGTACGTAGATTTGGTTGTGTAGGTGTGTTTGATTTTGTTCGTGGGTTGGGTTGTGAACGTAGATTACGTTGGGTACGTGTGTTTGATTGTTTTCGTGGATTGGGTTGTGTACAGGGGCGGAACTACAGTGCCGCCAGACCCCGCAATGCGGGGTCCCAGGACGTTTAGGGTCGGTCCTACAGCCGACCATAATCAATTTTTTTATAGTTAAAAAATAATTTTCTTGTAAAAAAACAAACAGATCTACTACAGTAGTGATGTTCTACAGTACCTAACATACGCTGTTTCGTAAAGGGAAAAAAATATATATAGGCTACATGAGTTGTAGTGCGAAAGATAGGCAAACGTTCAAACCACTTCCATGACTTATTTCCCTTTTTTAAATAACCAAATATGTGTGTTCTTAAGAATCTTTTTATAGATCTGCACTAAACAAATTAAAAAGCAATTACTTCTCTCAAATTTTAATTTTAAAAAAAAAATACATAATAGAGAATGATATAGTTCAAAAGGAAATGTATTCACAACTAATAATATTAATACACAAAAAAACATAAAAATAAACATAAGACGAGAAACCATTACACATACAAAGCTTTCATGCTTCATATTCTTTTGATCGACATTGAATAAAGGGGGCATTATGTTGAACAGTAAAATAGACAGTTTCAAAGCAGACTAAGCACTCGCACAAATAATGTGTTGTTGTAACAAGTTTTAATTAAAAATAAAAACTAAGAATTTTTAATGTTTACAAATTTCGAACAATCGAGTATTGAGTATTCTATATTCGTATTTTGTTTATTTATATATATATATATATATATATATATATATATATATATATATATATATATATATATATATATATATATATATATATATATATATATATATATATATATATATATATATATATATATATATATATATATATATGGGGCCCAAATTTTTTTTTTGCGGGGTGGCCCTTTTCTTCTAGTTCCGTCACTGCTTTAAATAGAGGACTTTTTAGTATTTATTTGAATCTAGGCTGTGTGGTATCTGTGTATCCTGTTGTAGTTTTTTTCTTTACCTCAATCTTAGCTGTAAAACAGGTCTAATGCAACGGGGTCTTGTTTGATGGTCATACTAGAAACCTATGGTGACTACTGAGTCTGATGACACAGGCCAAAGTTAAAGGCCAGAATTAAATGGCCAGAATTAAAAGGCCAGACTAGAAACCTATGGTGACTACTGAGTCTGATGACACAGGCCAAAGTTAAAGGCCAGAATTAAATGGCCAGAATTAAAAGGTCAGACTAGAAACCTATGGTGACTACTGATGACACAGGCCAAGTCAACGGGGTCCCGTTTGATGGCCAGAATTAAATGGCCCGACTAGAAACCTATAGTGACTCAAAGCCTCTCATGAACTGAATATTGGTTGTAGAGTAGTTACCCATAGGCTTGATTATAACTATCGTAACTTGATGAAAATGATAAACACGTGGTTCCACGTCGATTGAGTAAGCCGCCACACTTATCTGTGTCTTGTCTTCCATGTGAATGTCCACTAAGCACTGCAGTAATCCACGGAGTAAGTCTCTGAGACATGTTAAACCAACACACCACAACTCACTGAGTAAGCCTCTGTTAAACCAACACACCACAACTCACTGAGTAAGCCTCTGAGACCACTTAAACCAACACACCACAACCCACGGAGTAAGTCTCTGTGACCACTTAAACCAACACACCACAAACCACATAGTAAGTCTCTGGGACCTTTTAAACAAACACACCACAACTCACTGAGTAAGCCTCTGAGACCACTTAAACCAACACACCACATGCACTCGTGTTAATTTTCCACTGACGCACAGCACTTGAGACAAAAAGAACACAATCCCATTGCTCGTCTAGTCAAATATATCAGGTGTATTCTAGTATAGTATTACACAAGGTCGTGACTGCCATATTTTTCTGAAGCTCGGGTCTATGAAGTATGGGCAGAGTTCCGCTCACTGCGAGAATGTTGAGTACATGACTACAACGGTTCTCATTCATTTTTAGCCTTGGGACTTACTTAAGATATACATCGTTAGGATTATCTGTGCACAGTTTAAAGCTACCACCAACTAACCGTTGTGACATTTGCCTGAGGAAAAAAAATCGTTAAGAATTGTATAAACTGTTGTCAATCGACTTCTGGAGTGGGAGTTTTTTTCAGGCATCCTTTCACCCCCCCCCCCTCGAAGCATGTCTACCGCCCCTCGAACGAAACATAATTTATATAAGAATATATACAACCATTATCCCCTCCCCAACGAAATTTAGTGTACCCCTCGAACGTTTAAACTGTACCCCTCCAGTGTACAGTGTCTGAAAGAAACACTGGCTGTAATTGTATACAATTTTCCACGCTCGCCCTGATTAGTTAAGTACCCTACTCTTTCTGGACCTTAACTAAAAGGCTTTAACCTGACAACTTTTACCTTGAAGGTTGTGGGGGGGGAGAGAGAGTTGTAAATCAAGAGCTCAGACTGAATGGTTTGCTACGTGGTATGAGAGGAAATGGGGAGGTTTAAGAAGTGTGACTCCATCATTAGGTTGGGTTTTTTTTTCAATATAAGGGAAGAAAAATTGATTAATTTCCGTTAGTTATGGGGTGGGTAGGGGCTTAGAACTTGTGAAGCCATTTTAAGGGGGGGGAGGGTCTGATATTTTTAATACATGTCATGGCCGTCTACAGTTTATTGACGTCATTTATGGACCACATGTAAGTGATGTAACCCGGCCATTTTTCCCGAACCCTAGGGGTCTAGTCACAACCATGATAAAAATGTAACAGCATTGTCATTTGTGATGACGGTGACCCGATTATAACCGTGATGTAATGTAACAGTAACAGCATTGACATTTGTGATGGCGGGGACCCGATAACAAAATTATAACCCTATGCCACCATTAAAATTAGTATTTTATTGCTTCGTGCTTATAACAAATAATTATTTTATTGTGTCCTGATTATAGCACAAATAAAGCATTAAAATAATTATTTTATCGTTTCGTGCTTATAACACAAATAAACCATTAAAATTGTAAACCTTAGACCAAACAAGTTAATAAAAATTCTATTGACAATGTAAGCGCAATTTCCTTATGTTATCCATAACAATTTTAAATCGAGATAAATCATTTATTCAGTAAATAAATAATGAAACACAAGTAGTTTTAATAATTCAAAACAAAAATGTGAAAAAATGATTAGGCCTAGCGAAACAAAACCTTGTAATTATAACTCCCTATCACTCTCATATAAATTATAAATAAATTAATAGGGTACAAAAATAACATTTGAATTAATAAGTAAAAAATAAACTTATAGCAAGATCTAAAAGACAGCGAAAAATAGATTATTTTGACACATCCCTTTCCCCATAGATCTATATCTATATATTGCTATATAGTACTGTAGTGTATTATGTATAATGTAATTTTTTTTTTAAATTTTGTGACCGAACGAAAGGATATTTTTGAAAACTTTCTTCG